ACCAATGTATACTGGTATATGTCATTTTGATTAGTATTAGCCTCATAAAATACATTACTATCTCTACTCTGTTAAGCTTAAGTAAGTTATCAGCCATGCTTTTCTACAGGCAAAAGTCTTAAGACTCTTGTGCTTCATCTTCAGAATCTTTGCTTTTTACCAATTTTAATTTTCTAGAGAGGAAGAAACAGGCAATCTGTTCAGTAGCTCCTCCTATCACAAGAAGCCTTTGAGTAATTTCTAACAATCGCTTGGCATTCAGAGGGAGAGCTTAGTAGAACTGAAACCTGGCAATTTCTTTCCTATCATTCACTACTGGGATTATAGCATAAATGAGTTTGAACTACTGAGGTTTTAAATACAAAAATATTCACTGAGACAGACACAATAATTGGGGAGATCTCATTCTTCACTGCTGTGTACAACCAAAGACCCTGTATTTTCCCTGTTGTAAACTGCAGACACTCAAAATCATGGACCAAAAAAAAAAAAAAGTAAGCCACAACATCCTTAAGATACCATTTGTTGAAAATTTTCACTTGTCTTCTGATTCTTATTCTCCAAAAAGACTGGATTCAAGTGTGCTCTCATCTGAAGCTTGCAACTCAGCTTAGCTGCAAACACATGTAGTCAGGTTTTTCTACTTGCTGTCCAAAAGGGATAGGTGTAAACACCTTCCCACTCCCTTTCCAGCTTTTGAAGGTTGCTTCAGTCTTGTTCAGACGTGCTGCTGCTCCTTGCATATTTTTCCCTTTCTCATGAATATCATGCCCATGACATTCCACTGCACTCGCAGACCCTTTCTCTCCTATTTCTTTGTACTACTCACAACCTGACTCCTGCTCACACAGTCCTCTCTCTGTTGACCTCCATCTCACCACTCACACTCTTCTGAGCTCCCCTATGGTTTTGTACTATGTGTTAACATAGCCCTAACCATCCACTCTGTCATGGTCTTCTTAATTTATATTTTATTGTCCTGGCTCATCCTACAGAAGCAACTAGAAGGAGAAGGTCATCATTTCCATTGGGAGAAATCTTGTTTCCCTTTATACAAAACCTGTCAGTTTCAGTGGGATTCATTTCTTGTTTATTTACAATGAGAAAAGATGCATTTACTGCTTTGCTGAAAATCCACTCCTACTGATGGGGAACTGGAAGAAATTTTAGAAATGAAGGGGAACATGTTAAGCTAGAAATAAAAAAAAAATATCATATACATTTTAGGAAAAAAATAGTATTGCTGTATTTCCTCAAAAATCCTAACTGTGGCTTTCGTAATTTCACTGACACAGAAATAACTATATAATTAATAGAATCACAGAATGGTTTGGGCTGGAAGGGACCTTAAAGGTCATCTAGCTCGAACCCCCCTGCCATGGGCACTGATACCTCCTACTAGGCTATGTTGCTCAAAGCGTCATCCAACCTGTCCTTGAACACTTTCAGGGATGAGGCATCCACAACTTCTCTGAGCAACTTGTTCCAGTGTCTCACAACCCTCATAGTGAAGGTTTTCTTCTTAAAGTCTAATCTTAATATACCCTCTTACAGTTTAAAGCTATTACCGCTTGTCCTAGCACTACATGTCCCTCCCCAATTATAAAACATCGTAAGTACTAACTTCTTGTATTCAGCGTTGCTGAATTCCTGTCCTTTGTAAAGAACTCATACAAGAACACCATTTGAGTACAGGTATTCTAAATTTAGCCAAAAAAAGTTACTGTTTTCTTTAAATGCCAGTAAAAGGAAAGGAAATCATACTGTTCTGAATCTTTATGAAACAACTTGGAGTCAATACACAGCATGATAACACTGTTCAATCAGCAGTCTGAAAAAAAACTATTTGGGATGAAAATTAGCTGCTAAGCTAAGTAATGTTCCTGCACACAAAGTTTAAGAAAATTTTATTTATGAACGCACATAAGGGTTAAGGGATAGGATGCTTTTCCCACTGAAATACCGGAAAACAAGCAAGAAGTCTGTGGTTACTGTTTCATATCAACTCCTTCCCTCCTGAAAGGAGAAACCAGTGAGAATGGATAAAGAAAGTGGCAGACCTCAATCAAGCCTAGGTCTCTAGAGTGTCCTCTAGAATCATCACTCTGCACCTCCCTCACAAATCAACAAATAACAGAGGTGAACTGTAGTTTTATTAATCTCTTCCACTGACAGGCATATTCTTTTTCAAGAAGAATTTCCAAGCAATTTTAAGGTTTATGAAGCTTCATGTGAGACTTATAACACCCAGATTAATAGGGAAGCTTGTATTTTAATTATGAGCAAAGATCAAGCAAGAAAATGTAAATGTTCAACAGCATCTCAGTATCCAAACCTCCAGCTATTTCCTCTCATTATTACTGCAAGTTTGGTTTTCCAGGCTCTTCCAACAGTTCATTCAAGCCTCTTCCAAATACTGATGACATTGCTTTGGTTCTTCTTAAATCTCAGTTTCACACTAACCTCCAGTTCTCCAAAAGCTTCAGGTTGTCAGAAGCTTTTCAATAATACAATGTTGTCAGTACCGAAACATTTTTGATATTGTAAGTTTGATAAATGTTTTCCAAATCCAAGGCAGGATGTTGGTGAAACCCTCCCTGAGTCCTGCAGGTAAGCCTGCCTCTCCAGGACTTCCTTCCCAGTCTCCCTAGAGCCAGGGCTGCCAGGAAACTTAGCTCTAGGACATACCTGACATCAAACACCTAGCACCTCTGAGCTAGGGCTGGTAACTTCCAATGCAAAAGACATTTCTATATTGAAAAAGGGTCCATCCAGGTATGGCACACTCCTCCCATCAGTGTATCCTTCCCTTGCTTGTGAAAGCCCAATCACTGATATTGATTTATTGTGTCAGACCTGGGAGCTATACAATTGAAGTTGAATTTATAAGTTGCCACTTCTTAAACAGTATCTCAGCCTCAGAGACATTTTGCATGTTTCCACTGGAACAAGAGTTACTTTTCTTGGGATTTGAACACAGGCTTATTCTTCAGCTTGTTATTGTTCTGCTGTGAAACATTTCTTGCTTTGGTCTGGATGTTCTACACGGATTCTGACACATATTTGAGGCAAAGAATGTCTTCTCCAAAGAGGGAGAATATTAGATTTATTTTTTTTCCGCTGTGACAAGTCAAACCTTTTCAATTTTACATCTATCTGATGTCCAGCTTGGTTCCTCTGTTTTCAGCTGAAGTCAAATAGGCTGTTCTTATGCAGGGTCTGAAATTCCCCTCTGGGAAATCACAATGCTATATGGTATTTTGTTAAAACATTAGCGAATCACAACACATTGGATCTTAGGGCACTCTCCTTCTTAAGTTCCCTCTGCCTGTGCTTGATCTTCCTCTCCTTTCCTCTCCTTGTCTCTCATCGCCAGGCTACATCCAGCAGCACCTATTACTCCCCTTTTTCCCAGGAGCTGTTAGGCTTTGGATGCATTTGCATTTTTTGCACCCCTAGTCCCATTCCAGCTGCAGTTGGGATGAGCAATACTGCTTTGTTATGAAGTTGATGAAGGGCCTGGATGTGGCAAATAGCTTATTTTTTTTTGTCTTCATTCCTGCGAAGAAGGGTAGTGGATGAACAGGATGAGCTAAAGGAGTTGTCTGCACTGCAACAGTTATGGCTGACAGTTATGTAAAATACTTTTATGTGCAATCTCCTCTGATCCTCTCCTGGTTCAGAGGAGTATTATGGTCAGATTCAGCACACAGGCTCTTGCAAACTCATTTTCATGAACTGGGGCACTGGTAAGCATAGAGAACATGAAGACCAAGGTTGCTCTGTTTCTCTATCCTCAGCATTTACCTTTTCTCTCTTCTTAATCTCCTGTCTTCAGTGTCTACAGTTTAAGCCCATGGGATAAGTACAAGATCTCTTTACTGAAGTGCTTCCACAAATACTGGTTCAAATCACCTTGCAGAGGCTGCTGCAGAATGACAAGGCCTGCTGGCCAGATCAGTACGAGTTGCTTTAGCACATCATCCTAAAATGGGATTAGTTAAGTAACTCTGTAGCCCAACTCAAACACTGAGCCCAGCTGACTTTTCTAAGCTTCCCGCTTCCTTGTATCAGCTAAATACTACCAATCAGACTTTCAATTGGACATTTTCTGAGAAGCATTTGACTTCATTTGGGGATAATTCATGGGGTTCAACAGAAAATGTATACAATGACCAACTAACTGTAACTCATGGAAAACAGCAGTACACGCAAATGTTCAATCAGCTTTTGGAAACCAGCCTTGCTGCTACTCACGGAAACAGACACCTATTATATTGTACAAAGACAATTTATAGTCACAAGGAAGAACATTTTCATATGGGTCAATTATTATATGTAAAAAAAAATAAATAATGATACTACTTTCATCCAGCTATAAATATTCAGATGCATTCATCTAAATGGAAACCTATTTTTCTTCAGAATTATTGTCTGTTTTTTATTAATATACATTTGTTACAAACCTATATAGTCAGATATGGAGTACAGTTTCTTACAGTATAGACTGGAAGGATAAACACTGCTGTGTGCTACAATTCCACGAAAAGCACTAGTGACAACTTGAAATATTCATGAACACCAAAATGTTCCATATAAATAATGATTTACAGTGATTTTTACTTTTTAAAAATACTTTACATTTATTTCTCAAAAATTATATCCTTTTTCAAAGAAAATGGATTCTGTTTATTTTATCTTTAAAAAAGCTAAAATATTACTATGCAAATTATTATACTTTTCTTTAAATACTGTCCTATTAATAATAGTGCTCTTAATTTAAAGGAACTTCAAAATGCGGGAAGATCATCCTGCATCTTCATTAGCTATCCTCACAACAGCAAACTGACTTTGAACGTCTTACTCAGAAATATGCATTTTTCACTGCAGTTGGAAAAGACACTTCGTAGGTTATTCTGATGTCTTTGTGTGTCTGATTCTGAACATGTTTTGTTCTAGTACATTAATTCCAATGTTACAATTCCTTTTTTCCTACTCACCACCGAAGTAAGAGCCATCTGTCAGCTTCAGTTCCTTGTTGGATTTAGTGATGACACCAGCAACACCGTGCTGAATGAAATACATCTTTTTACCCACAGCGCCTTCTCTGATAATATAATCTCCAGGTTGAAACACCTCAAATCGCAGCTTGCTTAGCATGGCAGTCACAAAATTTGGGTCTGCATTAGCAAAAAGAGGCATTGTAGCTACCAGCTTCCGACAGTTGAAGTTGACAATCTCCTACATGGGAAGGAAACATAATGATAATAATGGTCAGCAAATGCATACAACTTGATGGACATGGAAAAAAAGACTTTCTGCTTTCTTCACAAATAAGTTCTTTATATTGTGTAACAAAATGTCTCCCCAGGCACTTGGGTAGCAGAAAGCTGTTATCTCTAGTAATGACTTATTTTCAATTAAAGAAAGGAAAAACAGGGCAAACTTACTTCCTGGTGCTACTCCTAGGATAGACTTTTTATACCTTTTAAAAATTCTGCAAGAAAGTGTCATTATATAATGGCAAGGTGGAAATAAAAGTATCTCTAAGTAGAAATAAACAATGACTCTTAACAACAGGTAGTGCAGCAATTATCTTTAACCGTCGTCTCACCAGCATGACATCTATGTACTTACATAAACACTACCTAAGCCTTTTTCCCCCTCCTCTTTTCCTCTACCAGAATGAACCAAGAAGTTATTAAATACATAGATATTTATATAATTATAATTTAATGCAGACTGAATTCTAGAATTATGAGGTTAAAGATTGACTGAATGAAGAGCAAAATGGTACATCTTTGAAGTCCAATACTAAACTTCAGTTGAGTTCAGTGGGGATATGATTCCACCAAGAACATTTTATCTGAGAATAATTTATAAGCAATGGAAATCAAACAAGACTCCTCTTCCACAACTTTTCACTGTACTGCCTCACTCTATCTATCCTCTTTGATTGCCATAACTTCCATGTCTTGTGGGAGTTTTGATGTGCCTGAAACACTGAATCATGTATGGACTCCATGGCTAAGTATAAACGGGATGGATTAAGACAGGAAGACACAGATGTGAGACGAAGAGCAGATTTCTTCATGGTTGCATGAACTTGAAATGTATAGAAATACAGGAGTGCAAACAAAAAAGATGAGAGGAAAAGAGCACTGAGATTTGTAATGACTGGGAGACTCCTACTTATAGAAAGGAAGTGCAGTCTGCCTATGACTCACAGTGGAAGCAGATATGGACACTGCTGGTGCAACACTGTGGGACAATACTATCTACATACATGACATCCAAATCATAACTTAAGAGAACCCTCACAAACTAGCCATGTTTGTAAAAACACATGGAAAATTTGATGCAAGATGATGTACTGCTTGTCTGAATCCAAAAATCATTGCAAGCAATAGCATTACAGAGAGTGAACAACCAGAGAGATGTCATTGGCATCCAAGATCAGTGAATCCTGCTGATTCTTGAAGTCAAGAGGAGTAATCCCAAGCTAACCCTTCAAGTGTTTTCTGTATGAAGGAACACATATTAAAAATATATATTGCAGTTGATTGTCTTTCTAAACAATGACGAAAAGCCTGTTTTCCTTCTAAGTCAAATGCTCCATTTCCCAGTAAAGCTTCAACCATCACCTCCCTCCCAAGGGAGAATAATTCTCTGCTCCCTCAGCTTATAGTCTGGTGGCATCATGTGAGGAGTCCCAGATAACATCCTCATGTATGAGACTGTGCTGCTGCAGTCAAAGCTGGTGCTGGAAAGCTGGCAGTAACTATTACTTTTCTTGCCTTGCTCAGGGACTTTTCAGTAGACTTGCTGCTTGTTTTCTGTTTCTGAAATTGAATAGCTTTTCTTGCATGCCCAGGAGGCAGAGAAAGGAAATTACAAAAGAGAGGAAAAATTGACTGGAAATTATATAGAAGCTGGTGGGAAAGCGCAGAATAGGCTGAGAGAATGGAAAGTTCAACTCCAGTCATGATCAGGAAGAAAGAGTAAAATAGACCTGCGTGGAGGAACACAAAAACCTAAAAGAAAGGGAAAAAAAAAGGCAGGAAGGTTGGCTTTAAAAACAGATTGAGATACTGAAAATCCTGAAAGTGAGAGCACAGGAGAACAAAATCTGGAGTAAACATGTCTGGAGTAAAAGCTGAGAAATAGGGCAGATGATGCAAAACAAAGGAAAATTGGGAAAATGGATCTTAATAGCATCACAGAAGGGCATGATACAGACAGAGGGGAGCATTCAGACCTGCATGACTTCTCTGCAGAGAGCAAGGCCTGCCCAACCAGAAAGAAATTAATCTCTTCTTGAGAAACCCAATAAAACAATCCCTTGTTGCAGGGTCTTCACCCTTGGAATGTCATGTCCTCTTACGGCTCCATCTTCTGCCCACCTTTCTCTCTTGATATGCAATTTATATCTGGATATGCTCATGCATACACACACATTACCTGCTCAGCCTGAGTTGCCTAATGAAGGTTCCAACATAGCTACAAAAACCACCTGCTGTGGTAATTTCAGCTGTTACATCATTAGTTTTCTGTAAAAGTTTATGCTGAAGCAAAAACTTGCCTTCTTTAAGACATTAAAAGGTGGAAAATTACTACGGGAGAAAGAAATCTGTCACTTTTAAGTGCCTTGTTTTTCTTTGAAGTGTTCTTTTACTTAAATCTGAGTTCATTCAGAGCAAGTAAAATACATTTCCCTGAGTCTTAATCACAGCCAGTGCTGCAATTTCAGATTTTCATGTATTACTTTAAATATCATCTTGGGGAGAAAGAACCAGAAAGATTATGAACATGTTTTATGTAACTCCAAAAGTACAAGGAGAAACAGTTCTGTTTTTTAAAAGAAAAGTAACAAAAGAAAAAACTGTCAAATTAAAAGTTTACATTCTGTGCAGAGAAAAATGTTTCACTCATATTTTCTTCAAGTAATTATTTGGAGCCAGATTGGAACTGGACTATGATGCCCAATAAGGTGTCTTAATTAAATTAAAGAATAATGATTTTGCCTCACCTCTACAGGAAGAAAATACCAAGTGAAGCCTGAGGAAAATGTTATGGGTGTACTATATTGCTGAAGTATTTAAAGGGCAAGAATGATTCAGACTTACCCGGATCAAGTGTTAATCGCATTCAAGTATTGGTGTCTGCCACACAAGAGCTGGGTAGGAGGTGCGATGGTTTGTAAGAGACTGGTTAGATAATTACAGTGGCTCCTGTCCCTTTCTAGTGTGGGCTGCTTTTTTAACTCATCTTGGCATTCCTAGCTATTTTGTCAAGCCAGTGTTAAAAAATGAGATATTTTAATTTTGTCTGGGTTCAGTATATCTGGAGGATTGCTCCAATAATATACCACATTTACAGAGACTGCTGCAATGCTGTCCTTGCTGTGACAGATGCATGGTGGTGTCCAGCTTCTCCAATGGCATCTGTAAGAGTTTTTAGTACTTTTTCTCAAGGAGAAGATTTTTAGATTGATATAATGCTTTTAGTTAGACCTCCTGGAAAAAGCTGTTGTTAGAGAAACAGCAAAGTTCTTGAAATATTTGTATGCCTGAAAGGTTCATTGCCTTAGCCCACTGATACAATTGAGCTAATAAAAGGCACTACTTCTGCCTACAGACTATGTCCTTCTTATGCATAGGCCACCAAAGTCTGTTTATGACTGTCGTGGTTTGAGCCAGGATTAAGCCAGTTTTCCTTTTGCTGATTTTTTTTTTTTTTTTTTCCTTCAGTGAGCTTTCTTTTAACCAGCAACAGTGTGTTTTGCTAGGCTGATAAGACACTGGAATGTTTTTCTAACTACTGAGGCTTCAAGGTCACACCTTCACTTCCCCTTAGAAATAACTCATGGAAGAAAAATTACTAGCAAGTGATTGAGAGAGAACTATAGGTGAAAATTTCATATTTAGAGATTTGGAGCAGGTTAAATACACTTAAATTGAGCTTAAAGGAATCATATTCTGTATGTGTTCATTATTTCCTGTAATTTTTTAACCCAATGGTCAATTATAGTCAAGTTTGGCAGAAAGGAAGCATCTCAGTGATATTAAGTTCTCACAGGTTTTAAGACAGCAGGCAATCAGGAGGACTAGGATTAGCACCCCACTGAGAGAATGACTACATCCTTAGCTCACAACTTGTTTAGTGCCAGAAAACCTACATGTGGCAATGGGATGCAATATTCTTCATTTCCGGTGCATCTGAAATCGTTTAAATTGCTTTGATGCATTCTGTTTAGTAATCTATACAGAGTGGATGACTTTAAAACAAATTTTGCTTAGAGGCTTTTATATAAGTAATAATGACTATTGTGCTTTTTTCTCTCTGACGGCCATTTCCAGGATTTTCTCTTTTTAAATAATGTTGATCAATTTATCACAGAGACTGTGCTTATATTTTACTTACAAATAGGGTACCTCTTGGACATCATTTATGTCTAAAGCTGCATTGAGAAACTACATTCCTCTTCTTCAGAACTTTGATGTTTTGCCATTCTGTTAACATAACTGGATATTGTGGGTGAGTGTGTTTCAGAAAACCTCACTATCTAGCCCCTGTAGCTATGTATTTTATAGCCCAAGAATGCTCTGATCTTAGATGGCCTATGTGTTTGACCTACAGACAAAGCACAAAACCTGAGAAAACTGATGTCTAACTCAAACATAGTCCATGTATCTCAGTTGCCTTGAAAACCAGTCAGTAGTCTGTGTATTTACATTTTCAAAGCTCTCCAGTTCCCAAGACCTCCAGTATATCTGCACACTGTCTAGATGCAGAAAATTTTCCAGCCAGCTGTGAGATAAGCTTAGGCAGGTAAAAGGAAGGTAGGAATAAGTACGCTTTCCAGCCAAATGATGAATGAAATTGCCTGCTTGGATTCTACCAGGACTGAGTTGAAGCAAGATTATTATTCTTTTTTTGCATTCTGTCTAGCTCTCTTTAACTCAGTTTAAGACAAGTCAGCCTTAAAGAGAACATATGGTAGCCAGTATTGCTGTCTCCTAAAATAAAGCAAGATTTTAAGCATTTGCAAGGAATATAGATTTGACCAGTTATATTTTCATGGCTTCATTGATTAAATATTGGCCTTCTGCATACTTTTCTATCATTCCCTACTTGATTAGAATTTTCTATTCAACTCCTTATATGCATTTTTTATGCTTCAGAATTATTATTGCATTAAATTCAAAAGCAGACAGAATAATCCCTTTGAGGCTATATGG